GTGTCTGGTTGGCTTCCCCCCCCCCCCCCCCCCTTCTCCATGTTTTGAGCTTTATTGCTGCTACGTTTCAGACACATGTTATCTCTTTATTTGTCTGTATATTCATATTGAAGCTGGATTCCAGTTTACACCGTAGGGAAAGTCTAAATGTGATTTGCGTTTGGAGCGTCAGATTTCAGCAGTTAACGACAATAGGACACAATAGTATTTTTATTACACGTTTAATAGTATAATTATTTCTGAACTAATGCATGACTCATATTTTTGAAAAACCTATTTAAATAAAAAAAATCCAGTCCTTTTAAAGTAGCACTAAAAACGATTAAAGAATTCCACCACGCAGCATGTAGTGTCAGGAGATCTTTTTGCGGTTGGTGTTGTGTGATGACACGTGATTGGCCCGTGTGATACCGCCTCCTGACTGGCTGTGTTGTGTTCCAGATGGTGATTGGTCAACAGTCGAGCGGCAGCAGCAGTAACCTGACGGAGCTCCAGGTGGTCAACTTGGACGCAGTACAGAACTCAAAGGACTGACAGACGGGTGGAGCTGTGTAACATGCTCCCCCCGCCTACCCCCACTCCCCCCCTCCCCCCCCCTCCAGGGGACACACAGACTTACGTCAACTCTATTTATTGATGCCTTCCTACAGAGCTTCACATTACACTTCTGAATGTGACTTTACATCTATACACACAATCAAGGGCATATGTGTGGCTGACCCTGACACAGTATACAGTATGTTTTGGTATATAAATATATATATATTCGCAAATTCATAGGAAATATATCACGTCATCCATCATCGGAAAACTATTTTCTATGCCGTTAGATGGTGTTATTTTTTTTGTGTGCGTGTTTTTTTGAAAAAGTGTAATGACCTGTACACACACACTGCGAGGTGCCACAGTTTCACACCAGCCAAAGAGACATTTGTTTGTCTGAATGTTCCAGTGTGAGCAACTCGTGCACAAGCGTGTGTGTGTTTGTGTGTGTGTGTGTGTGTGTGTGTGTGTGTGTGCGCATATCTGGGGTTTGTAAATGGGCAGGGAGACGCTTATTGACTTAAAAAAAGAGACGTTTAGAAATGTACATAGTTTTCTTTTTTTTGATAACTTGTATTTTTAGCCTGGTTTAGTTTGTGCAACGGCATGTAGTTGTTTTTTTTACGCAGTGGTTTTGTATGCACATGAAAATGATTTGCTAAAAGATTAATTATTTACATGTATATGTAAAATAATTGAATATACCATCATATGTTGAAATACTGTCATGCTGTTGGGCGTTTTCAATACAAGATGGAGAAGGAACGCTGGGTGTTGTTCTACATGATGTGACATTGATTGGATCAGGTAGCTGGGTCGCAACATGTAAACAAGATGTTTATGATTTACTGTAAACATGCTCTGATTTCACTGCTGATGGCAGAGTCATTGATGTTGCATGAGAGGTTTTATAAAAAGCTCTGATCTGGCACTAGTGTGGAAACTGTTAACGACAATCGGATGGAAATTTCATTTATCACGTTTTTTACATAATACCATCTTTATTGTCATCACACAGAAGTTTGAATACATTTCTGAGTTGTTTCACTTATTTTGAAATCCCACAGTTGATTTGATCCTTTTATGAGCAACAAACCTGAGTGCCAACAGATTTTCACCACATTAATGTTATTTTAAAAGCGATCCATTGTACACCTGTCGCTCTGATTCGCCTCCATTGACTGCAGAACTTTAATTATGGGATGGCATTACTGACTGGAGTCAGGGCATTAGACACAAATCTCTTGTTTAACAAGACACTGTATACACTTGGAAATTCCACTTTATCAACGCGTTATAATTTCCTCGGATGGAAGCACTCAATGTTATCACAACAGTATGAATATTTTTGTACGAAAAGGATCTCTTGTTTAGAAAAACTTCAGGTGCTTTGAAATGTTAATATAGTCCTTTACCTAGAACTGTAAGACCCTCACTGACTGCAATCTCAGTGTGTACCTCAGCAATCATTACGGATGAGTTATCAGACTGAGAGCCTTCTTTCTGCACCATAGTGCCTCTTTTCCATGGCTCACTTTCAAATCACTGCTAGGCAAGGGAAATGTAGGACTGACTTATTTCCAGACCACCTCCATGACTTTTCATGCAATCCCCTGCTGTGTCCGGAGACTTTTGACTCCTTTCTACAGAATGCGCTGGATGACAGAGCTGGCTTGAAGCCAAAGAGAATCTGACGGAGGATAAACCCCCCCCCCCCCCCCAAATCCTGACTGCTGTTCAGTTATCCCCGTTCATTTTCACGCTCCATGTTCTCTGGTGTGTTCCTGTATCCGACGTCATCCTGCAGGGGGTGTTTGCAAATGAAATTGACATGTTAAAGACATTTAATTCCCCCATATTATTATCCAACGTTTTTTAAGTTGTTTTAAAAAGGGGATTAGTGAACAGATTTTTGGATTTCACTTTGTCATTGAGAGAAACGGTTATTTTGTGTATTTTTGTTTTGTTGTACAGACATTTTGTAATAAAAAAAAAACGATGAAGAAACACATGAACTGCTTAAAGAATGACCACATCCACACAAAGCATGTTTTCATTCTTTAATTGGGACGGAGAAATGTCAAAGAAACCATATTGTTCTGTATGAAACCGAACATTTTGTATAACAGCAGTGTTGAAATGAAGATGGCTGATTAGGAATTACAATGAAATCTACAAAGCATTGGGAGGCAGGAGGAGTGAGCATGCACCTTAATGTTTTCATAATGCATTGCACCGTCACAAAAATCAAACTGGCCGTGAGTAGGAAGAATCATCCCATCTAAACACCAGAAGAGAAGCAGCGATTAACGTAAAGAAATGCAACATGATACAGTGATTGGTCGAAGCCATCGAGGGTATAAATCAGTTGGCTACAGAGTCTTGTACATCTTCCAAACTAAGCCGATGTAACAAGATAGTAAAACACAACAAAATGGTAGTGACGCAGAAACCCTTACATGAGATCCACAGTGAAAGTAAGGCATCATATCTCCAGCTAAGAAATCCTCACAGATGGCCGGACTGCCTTTTTTTTCTCTCTCTCCTTTCAACAATGAAAAATAATGTTTAAGCATGCATTTACACCAGGTAGTATATCTATATTTCTATTGTACACATACAATATACAAATGTACAGTTGGAAAGATAGTTGATTAAAAAAATGTGCATGATTCGACAATTTAAAAAAGGTTTCCCGTTAAAATAGAAATGTTACATCCTAGGTTTCTTCTTTTTTTTGGTTTATGAAAACATTTGGAGAAAAAAAAAGAAGCTTTTTGTCGTGTATATTTACATTATGAACGAGCAAAGATGAGGAAATGTGCAAAATGTGATTCCATGCAAGCTGTTGCATAATGTAGAGGAGGTGCTTGAGTGATGGGATTAAGGTGGGACCAAAATAAGAAGAAGGGGGGGATTAGCGACACATGGCTCCAATGAATGACTCTGTCCACTCTCCACCGCAATGATAAATCAGAACACTCACACGTAAACAAACTCAACACGCTTAGCAACCAAGGACACTTTCACACTGGTAACACAACAAGCAGCCATTAAGAAGCATCTTGATGTAGATGAATTCAATCTTATGTAATTAATTACAGATGCACGAGGTGATTTTAAGTTCCCGACCCCTTTCCCGAAGTATCCAGGCAATTGTTTACCAATCAACCGGTTCCAACAACACAGCACATCGTCATTTAAAATGAAGGACAAAAAGGTAATACTGCAAGTAAACGCAACACCAAACAGGAAGTCATGATTACCTTTGGAGGTCTGGAACCCGACAACAGGGTGTCAAGATAAATGTGATGAGATGATCAACTACGGCAGAGGATTAGGGCCACGTGTGCATTTGTTCAGCATTCTACGTTCTCAGAATTCCAGATTCAAGTCAGAACAAAAAAAAGTTAATTAAACTAAATAACTTTTGGTGTAATGTCAAAATAATTATTCACGTGGTTCCTTTATCCTCTTCCGTACTCAACAGTGTTGCTGGATAATGAACAGTTGCTACACACATTTTCTTTGTTCAAATGTTCTTGTTTTGTTTTCTTGTAAATGACTCGACAAACTTTAAATACATTGCAAATAGCCCCATTCTCTGCAGTTTAGCCGCTGCTGTATGTTTTAAGATAATAATGCATTTAAGATACTGGTAAATCAAATGAAGCGGTTTGCTGCTCTGCATTCCATCGATACAATGAAGTCATTATTGAGAATGAATAATGGTTTAAAAAACACGATAACAATCCCTTGGATAAATGAAACACTGGTGTGTGGGATTTGAACACTGGGTCTGGAGAACAAAAACTAACGTGGAATCAAAACAAAACGCGTCTTCCACAAATGCCAACTTCCTAAAAAGCGTGAATAATGTAACGAGTGCAATGAGGTCCGTGTGCAAATTCACACAATTTGCCAAATTCTATTCTTTCTTTGGGTGATTATTACAGACGAGCTTTGAGAGCAAATGCATTTAAAGACACACTTAAGAAAGAAAACAAATTAAGTCAGTCCTTAGTTTGACTGTTTTAAATTCATATTAATATGACATTAGTTAAAAAGGCAACCTGAAAGCAAACAATAAATAAGACTTGGCATTTAAAATATGAGTGCAGTATCTTAAATACTACAGTTCATCATGTATGTAACTACAGGTACATATCGGGGGGGGGGTTCTTTTCTCTACAGCTTCTTGTCTTCAAACAGACAACACATGAGGATTCAAGATGAAATTGTTCCAAAGGAAACCATCTGTAACTGAAAGGTGCGAAACCACACTAAGGCAAAGACGTTTACAGATGTGTGATTATGGGACAGGAAATAAATACACAAACAGTTTTTCTCCACGGTAGAATAATTACAGGGCGGTCCTCTTTTGGCTGGTGGGGGAGAAAGGGGGGGGGGGGGGGGGGGGGGGGGGGGGGGGGAGTGAGAGGCTGTGACCATCTCTCTGCACCTCCTCCTCCTCTCCGCTGGGGGGTGGGGTGGGGGGTGGTGGTGTAGTGTCTGTGCTCTGACCGTCTCAAAAACAAAAACAGGACCAAAGACTGTTGAAGAGGAGGGGGGGGGGGCTTTAACAGTCTTACAGCGACAGCAGTTAGTGGTAAAGTTCTGCTGACCCTGTTACAGTGGGACCGCCACACCCCACAGGCCCAGTTCACCTCTGACCTGCCCCCCCCCCCGATGGCTGATTGACAGGTGGGAGGGCTCACGGTGAGGAGGAGGAGGAAGCTGCTGCGTGGTATTTGACGAAGGCAATGGCCGCCAGCTCCTTGCAGAACTCCTCCAGCACGATCACGCCCTCCAGCAGAGTCATGTGGTCCACACTGCGGGGAGAACACACAGAAAGGGGAGGAGTCAGGAACAGAGGTCATCTCAGAAGTGTGCTTATAAACACTTTGAATTAGATTTGACTTATAATGTATGAATTCTCCATTTCATTTAAGGCAGGGGTGGGGAACCTTTTTCCTCTCAAGGGCCATTTACATTTTTACAACATTCTCCGAGGGCCGTACAAATGATTGACCTCTGCATAAAAATACAAAAATCACAGCCCATTCATTTGGCCTTTCTTTCATGCTGTGCAAAGAAAAAGCAACCTCTTAATCCAGATATCTTACCATGCGTATGCATGCACGTGCACGTTTGTGGCATGACCACCAAAACAGAAAGATATGGACACAAGATGTGTGCAAATGTATTTAGTTTCCTATCCATGTGGACATGATTTAAGTGGGGGGGGACCTAACCTCCTCTAGGGCGTTCCGGGGGCATGCTCCCCCGGGAAGATTTTTTTTTAAATGTTGAAGTTAAAAGCATCAATCTGGTGCACTTTGAGAGCAACATTAAGAGATCTATGGATACATCTCTCAACACCCATATGAAACAGAACTGTAAGCAGATTTTATTTTTCTTTATGGATATTTTACAAATCACTCCCTTTTCAAACTGTATTCTTGTTTATTAATAACAACTTTTTTTTACTGTCATATAGTATTTTATACCAGTTTACTTTATTCTCTTATTTTTGTATAACTATAATGATCATATAAAGATGTGCCTTTACCTCACTGGTTGTAGAAAAAGCTTCTTATATTCGTTAGCATAGCTAGCTAACCAGATGCTAATAACAACAAAGTTATTGACTGTATGATCAGTATGACAGATGAACAGATCGCCACTGGGCTTTCAACTAAAGACACAGCCACGCAAAAACTGCGGCATGTGTACGGCTCCTTATGGGTACTGTACTGCAATTTGTGAAGTCCCGGCCCGGAGCGGCGTTCTGGTGCTCTCCGTCAGAACTGCACCCCTGTCAGACGAGACATATACCACGTGATGACACGATAGGCTCGTGTTGTGTTCAAGGACCCTGACCTTGGCCAGGAAAAACAGGCACTCGCTTGTTTAATTTTTTTGCGGTCTAGATTTCTTTAATTCTTTTCTTTTTTGCGTGTGTTTATAAATTACCTCGAGGGCCGTACCAAATGGTCTCGCGGGCCGTATACGGCCCGGGGGCCGGAGGTTCCCCACCCCTGATTTAAGGCTTGCTTGCTAGCTTTTTAGATAGCTTTTGTTTAGTTTGAGGTTTTAAAAGACATTTTTCTTGAGTATCTTTTCACTAACCCATATACAGAATGACCTCAGCTTTTCTCCTAATTCCAGTGGGTTTACATTAGTTCAGAGATGAGAAGCTTGATGAATGTCATTAATCAGCTACAATGTTTTTATCAGGTATTTGTTATTTAATAGTATAAGACCAGACTGAAATCAAAAACCACAGGGAGTGATTTTGATGCAATTGTTCCACAGTATCATCTCCTGGCGTTCACATACACTAATGCCGTCTTCTTTTTTCAGCAGGGATATACTATAGCTAAAATGTCAACTGAAATGAATCAGATTTTTTTTATTTATATTATATTTTTGTGGAAACAATATTGTTACCAGGATACCGTTTTGAATTAGTTTCTGTTTTAATAAAAACAAACTTGGCTGCTCATTTTGAGTTTATGATTATTACTCAGAGAATAATAATCATGAACTCACTCCTCTGGGCTCTCTCTCCGTGCCAGCCTCGGGGACCTGTTGCTGGTTTCATGGAGTTATCTGTTTATTGAGAATAAACTATTGTGTTATTCTTACACCTCGTCTCGCCTCCCCGCTTTTTGTTGCAGCCCAGGAGCCGGGTTGTAACATATGGTGTGTGAGAGGTACGTACTTGATGCCCTCCGGCTCCAGACCTAATAATCTCTTCCTGACGAGCAGCAGTTTGGGGGTGAAGTCTGGGATTCGCTGGATCCTCAACATGAGATCTCCCACCACCTAACACACACACACAATAAGACAAATTAGGAATTACATAAAAACAATATACCTGCTTTCTTACATCTCTGGGCAACGGTGCATCACTCATAAATCTATACTACACCCTTTGGAGACATTACGGTAATAATTACCATAAACAAACAAGACCATCAACAAGCTGCTTCCAGCTGCCTCTACTGACTTTAACACAGTGTGCTACTAGGACAGGTTTATAAAAAAAGGGGGGGGGGGGACAGAGAGTGAATACACATACTATACAGAGATGCTGTATGAGAAACCAATGTGAGATTGGAAAATTGCACAATATAAATCTATTCTAGTATACCTCAACAATGGAATTATGACCAGTAGAAATGGGACCTTTAAACAAGTCATTATGTGCTTTTCACCAAATGTAATGACATCCATCAACAGAATAATAATTAATAATCAAACTGCTATTTATTAGTCACATTAATCATTTAATAATCCATTTTCTCTCTGCTGGTAAAGTAACGTGTTTTTTTCTATTTTAAGAGGGATCAGTAAGGTTGGGCTACTGTGACGGTTTGATTCAGAAGGAGTTTATTTATAAGATCCCTGATGTTAAGGTGACCAGAATGTTTATGTTATAAGGAACCCACAATCTATTTTTATGCAAGGGATAATGTGCAGCGAGGCGGTCTTTATGGGGAAAAGAACACCCGAATCTATATACCATACCTATCCTAAGGGAGTGCATGTATGTAGACACGTTAGTTTTGCTGCTATAGGCTTAGACTGTCGGGGGGACACCTTACTTCTTCCTTCAGTCTGTCTGTACTGTACTGTACGATGTGAGGGTCTAAGGACAGAGGGTGTCGTATTGTCATACTGATATTCTGTACAAACTGTGAAGTCCACTGAGACAAATGTAACATTTGTGATATTGGGCTATATAAATAAACATTGATTGATTGATTGAAAAGAACACCTGAATCTAGATCCCTCTGCAGGTGGTACTTTAAGTATATTTTGATGCTAATACTTTTGTACTTTTACTTAAGTAACATTTTGAATGCAGGACTATTCTAACAGAGTATTCCTACACTCTGGTACTTTTACTCAAGTACAAGATCTGAACTTCTCCCACTTCTGGCAATAAATCCTGAGTGGTTACCCGTGCTCTGAAGGTTATTTTCATTTTACAAATCCTGCACTGAGCTTTGCTTTCTCCAATATCATTGACATGCAGCCAGATGCTGCTTCTTTTTTCGGTTGTTGCTCATTTCTTGAATTTTTCTGACACGTTTGCATTTAAATCCGTCTCCCCGTCGCTCTGTGTAGCTGGCCTGTACCACTACACTTGCTGTCTTTGGAGCGTCTGCCCCCCACCCTTCTTCCACATAATGGTATGATCCTAGTGTGTCCTCGTATATGATTGGCCGCATGGTGGCCCAGCAAAATAACGTCCCGTCCCTCCCTGCAAAGATTCTCAGCAAGAGTAGGAGCGGCGGAAGATGTGGCTCTCCCAGACGGGAGTCTGCTCTTCGAGCGGCAGCTCGCGATCGACATGTTGGAGACCCCTATATTAAAGTATCAAGTCACCTCAAGTCAGAAGGCTCAAGTCAAAGTCAAGTCCCGAGTCCTTGGTGTTCAAGTCGAGTCGCAAGTGTTTTGTCAAGTCGAGTCCAAAGTCATCAAATTGGTGACTCGAGTCCAAAGTAATCAAATTGGTGACTCGAGTCTAAGTCATGTGACTCGAGTCCACACCTCTGGTACACAGTACAGTATAACAACAAGACATCTTTAGGCACCTGCTACAGTGCGTGTACGCCGTGGGAAGAGCAGTGCTGCTATCAACAATAGATAAGATAAAGTCTATAATCTAGCCTCACCCTGACGATGACGGAGAACAGGGACCTGCAGCCGGGGGCCAGGTTGATGTAAGGGTCCAGCAAGTACTCGTGCAGGTGGGGGTGCGGGAACATGGAGAGCTTGGAGAGCACAGCGGTCACCTGCAGGTTCACATCGTAGGGCTGTGGGACAGAGAGGAGTCAGAGAGGAAACTACACAGGGAATCAGCTGCAGGTTCAATGTGTAGAACAGCTCTGAATGAATCACACAAACTAACGCAGTCAGAAGCTTTTAATGACTCGTCACTAAATACAGCTGCGATAAGAGCTGCCAAAAAGTGCATTTCACTTAAGAATCTGCATATTCCCCATCCAACATGATTAGTCAAATTAGTTTATGGCAAGAGCTAATTATATTATTTTGTTTTTTTGTTCGAAAAAATAAAAAGGCCTCTGCATAATCATTAGCTCACTCACATCACGTCCGTTTCTTCTCCACTTTCCATTAGAGGGATTCATTTACGCTTCATCACAGTGAACTGTTCTCATACAGCAGGAACATTTAGATATCAGTGTAATTAAATCTTTTTAAACTAATATTGTTTTTTTAGGAGCGATGGCTCTCTCTGGGTTTGACCTTAAATAGGATTTGAAATTATTTGCATACAGAAAGCTTATCTAATTCACTGGAGTCTGGTTGCACACAGCTTGATTAACAAGCTGAGGACTCAACAACCTTTCAAACTTGAGAAAATAAATGATTGTGTAACTTATTTGCTCCATAAACAGGCAACCTTTTTATGGATGTGTTTACAGCCTGAATGTGTAATTAGTTTTTTTTTTTTACTTTGGGCATCTTGCTATTCAGACAGGTGGATCTTAGACAATGCAACAGATTTTACAAACATATATTTGAACACCTTGGCATGCAGTTATTCTGCAGATATTTGTAATATGGAGGGTCACCTGATCGAGGATGCGGCCCATCCTGTCGAAGAGAACCTTGAGGAAGTGGCCCTCGAAGAATGGGCTGTCCAGGTTACACTTCTCTAAAGGTTTTGGATTCCCCCTCCAGTCCCACCGCTGGCAGACCCCACAATAGTCCCTGAACTGAGGAGGACAATATATCCACACTTTAATATCTCTTCTACTAGCTACAGATGAGAAAACTGATTAGCAACAGTACCCACAGAGGGCATCAAGCGATAAGCATGCTGTAGAATGAGCCTCACCTGTCTGTGAGCGTCTCTGAGGTAGGTGTCATAGCCTGTGCCTTCGACTTGATACGACGACTTGGCCTCATCAGGCACCAAACACAGGAAACTGCAGGCAGCAATATTTAAAAGTTATTGACAACTAAAGGGCTCCGCATGCTGTGTGTGGTGTCAGCAGCAGACTGTGTGTACCTGTTGACGATCTTGTGGACCTCCGTCTTGCCGTCAGACTTTGAGTTGTCGGGACTCTGTGGTGGAGAGGAGCTGAGCCAATCAGATCCGGACAGCCTGCTATCAGGAGAAAGGTCATCCCCGAACAGTGGATCCTCCTCAAGGTCTCTGTGGACAGAACACATGTTGATATGACATTTCTATGATTTTTGAATGCGTAATGTAAGGGATTCTAATTTCTATTTTGCATTGTACTGAAGTCCACTTTTTCTGCATTGCATTGTGTATTTAAAAAGGGGACATATGTACTGTTTTATGGAATGATAGCATATTAAGGCTTATTAGGTGTACCATTACCATACACTACTAGTGTGTAGTGTGGAATTGTAATCAATGTCTACTGTATATGATGTAGGGATGAGGTTTTACTGCATTTACTGTACCTGTTTGATATAACTAAGTATGTTTAAGTGTGTCTGTATAATCCCTGACTGTCTTCAGCTGTTTTGTGAACTCATCTCACCCTCTTAAAACAATGATCATGTAAACCCAATATTACAGTGTTCTATTTGGAGACTTATTTCCTCTGTATGAGAACTATGAAGCAACATTCATATAAAACTATAAGCAAGCTATTGCTCGGAGTGTATCATCTCCAAAAAATTATAATTAAAGTCATAGCTGGTTGACATGCATTCCCCAAAAAACATGTCATAAAAAGATTGAATCACCAAAAAAAAGGAACATTTTTGCTGAATGTGTTGCCCATCTGAAAAACACAGCTAGTTGATGCATTCACTTTATTTCCACTGGTGTGTGTTTGTGCAGATGGTTTTCCATGCAGGATTATAAGGCAGCAGAGGGGAGGTCAGAGGCGGGTCCTTACACAGCATCGTGGGGCAGCCCATTCTCCAGGGACTCCCGCTCCTCCTGGGGTTTGTTCTCCAGGTAGTTCCTCTCCCCCAGGCCGCGCAGCACCAAGCTGTGCAGGATGTGCTGGTTGGGCTTCTGGATCAGCTGCTCAAACAGCCGCAGCGTCATGATGCTGATCTGAGGACAGAATGAGGATCAGCTCCCACCTTAAACCCAACAACCTGCCAAGTATTTGCTAACTGACTAAGAAAATGTAGGCAGTGACTTCAAACATCAAAGACATGACTCATCTCTCTCTTGAGTGATGAAAATGTGTGCAACAGCTCCGACAGTCACTATTTAAAATGAATGTGCGTTTGGATTATCATATGAATCACTGAGAATTTGAAGGGCAGATGGACAGTTTTCCGCTTGAATATCAAACTTTCATTGTTTAAGGCACATTTATGATCACAAAAGGGTGGAAAAGAATCAGCCAGACATGAATGATGTCACTTTTTTTTTCATAACCAAGTACATCCTGAATCAGATGTGAAAAGTACCTCGTCTGAGAGATGGTCGCAGTGCTCGATGAGTCTGTGTCGCAGTGGATTCTGAGCCACAGTCGCAGCGGTCTCTGGCTCCGTCTCCTCTCCCAGCAGGAAGTAGATCATCTCCTGCAGCAGAGCCTCTGAGGTCACCTGCCTGATGATCCTGTTCAGCAGGGCCGTGGAGGTCAGGATGCCCACCTCCGACCTATGTGCATCCACAAACACACCACATGTTAATGAGCAGTCACCCAACTGACAAGACATATAAAAGGATGATTGATTGATGACTCACGTCTGCATCAGCTGCGGCTCCATCACAGACACAAAGAATCTTTCCCTCACATTTCTTGCCATCACTGCTGCTGCTGACTGGAAGACAAAACAAAATGTACTTCCGCCTTCTGTGGCATTCAGATAACAAAAACAACTTCAAGTCCTTTGATTCTGACTACAATGTGACACATCAAAACACAGTGAGTCAGCGTGGGATAAAGACCTTCTGAGCCTCCTTGATGAGCTGGTCACAGTAATCTAGCCACGACAGGAAGGAGATGAGAGGCCTCTTTCCTGTGAAGATAGCAGCATCCTCCTTCAGGTTATACACGTCCAGACTGAAAAGAGAGAAACACATTTTTTTTTGAAATATTAAAAAGCTTTGATGCAACTCCATTTATCCACTAAAAATAGCATTTTACACAGAATGCTATTTAGGGGTGTCACTGCCAAGTCAAATTAAAATCAAGACTTCAGATGGTAAAACAGCTCTTTACAATTCTTTGAATATGTGAAAGAAATGTACCCCCAGTTAACAGACTCCACCGTCTCGATGTCCAAGGGGTCCATGGACTGTGGCAGGGCTTTATAGAAGGACACCAGCCTGTCAGTCAGCAGCTCACAGAGCCCTGTGTTTTCTGTTAAACACTTGGCAGCTGCAGGCTCTGGCAAACTGACCAGCAGCATCAGACCCTCACATGCCTTCACCACTATCCTGCCATCCTGAGAGGAGAAGAAATGGATACAGCTCATGATTTAACATTCGACTCAAATAGAAAGGACAGCTAAATAAATCTTCAATGGGGATTACTTACGGGGCTCTTTGTGAGGTTGAGCAGCGATGTGACGAGATTGTAATTGTTGCCGTTATTGTTGTGACTAGAGGTGGAGGCAGCAGCTGCAGCTTCCTCTGGGTGGTCAGCCCTCCCCATTGCTGCAGACTGACCGGTGTCTGGATCCAACACATTGTCCTTCCCCGCCTCTGTCTCTGCAGGTCTCTTCGCCTCAGGTCGCTTTGATTTGTTCTGCAAATAACACAACAAATTAAAGGTTCTTCTGAACTTAAACATAATACAAGGCTCTTTCTTGTACAATAATAAATATAAATTGACCTTTAGGAATGAGATACTCAAATGTCTCTCTCTGGTGTCATAGCAACTCACCTCGAGGAAGAAGTTGACAAGGTATGGGTCCTGCTTCAGTTTGGAACAGACTATACAGAGGAACTGAATCTCTTCGTTTTCTGTAGGAGCAGCCAGCACATCTCCACACAGACGGACCAGTTTCTGTCAAAGGAATTTCACAGCGACATGGGGAAAAAAGTAAAGGATAAGTTACATAACCTCATGTTCGTGTACAATTTTGAGGAGAAGGATTATCAGAAAGACACTGAAATCCAGACTACATCACTTCTCACCTGTACAGGTCTGTGGACATTGATGTGTGGCAGGAGAGGTTGACGAATGTGTGCTAGCAGCTTTGTGTAGAAGGTGAGCACCTGCTGCTTCATCCCCGGAGGACACTGATGAAAAATTACAATTTTTTAAAATTAAAAACAGAATATGTTCAAATGTACTTTATACCTATATAGATGTCTCGCCACCATGAGTGGAATTTAGCCAACATTGCGGATTCATTTAAGAGCATAGCGAAATTGTGTCTTCTGATCTGATTGTACAATCACTGTTGTGTCTAGCCCCCCAAACTTCCATGGGCCAAGTTCCCACAATTAATTTACCACATATACTATACATATATTACATATACTATACATATATTATCTATATTTTCCTGGGGGTATAGAACATGTAGTTACCAAAGCATGAATGCCTTACATCTGCCTTTCCCAAGGTGTAGAGAGTCTCGAGGATCTTGTGGTGGAGGAGATACTCCATGCAGGGTCCCGTCTCTCCAGACTCCCTCTCCCTTTCCTCCTGGGTCAGGATGTCCAGCATCTGTTCCAGGTGGGATGGGATATTGGTGTCTGTGACTGGAGCTTTGTCATCTAAGAGGGGAAAACACAGATATATGTCGGAACCTTGGTATGTCCATGAGATACATACATAAAGAAAAAGGCCATGTGCCAAAAGCTCCAGCAATCGTTTATCTAACCACTGCAATTCAACTGCACAGGTATCTCCCCAAAAACAACAAACAAATGTTAAAACCACATACATTTGATGTCGTATTTGTTTGAAACCATATGTGTAAAGTTAACTGTTTTGATGTAACTCAGTCCAATGTTATTTGATGACCTACAATCTTTTTTTGTCAAGTTGCATAAGAGGTTGCGGTAAAATCTTATGACAGTAACCATTTCTCACTGGTTTCAAATGGCAATACATGTATTGTAAAGCACATGCAGACATTGGTGAGTTGCTGACAACAGGCTGTTTACACATTAGCAGAAGTGAGTAAACGAAGGGAGCATGACAGAAAAGCATGCGCCTTTCACCGAACGCTGCGTATGCTAGAACGACTGCTGCCAAATATGAATAAATAGGGGAATGCTGTGCATTAAATCAACTAACGTTGCGCATGTCTGTCACACTGAAAGTAACAGAGCACACAATGTCAACAATGCTGTCAATAAGTAATGTTAATGTCACAAAGATAAATCACAACCATTTTCATCAAAATAATCAATTATTTCTCAAGTGACCTCGGAAGTATAGAAGAAGTTAATTCAAGTCACAAGTCCGGAAAATCTGTGATTAAATGCCCCTGAAAACTAGCTCAGCATAACCCTCAAAAGTACAGATAATCCCCCCTCAGCTGTTCAGGGTGTATTTTGTTAAACTGGCCAAACTAGAAGAACTGCTGAGAAAAAGCTGTGGTTTGGGATAATGAATAAGAGATGCAGATTTTACTACCGCAAAATACACAGACTAGACGGCAGAAGTTTTCATTGAAGTTGTCTTTACTTGACTGGCTTTAGTTGCCAAGTAAATCTTAGTTGTGACTTAACGCAGAGTATATTTGTTCAACTTGCATAGATCCCACAAGTTGAGATATATTGCAAACTCAACCAGCATAACAGTTCCAACATAATACAAAATTGGCAATTTAATTCAGATTTCTTCACTACCATTCCATTTGCACTTCCTGACTAATGCTACATGTTGACAATAAGTGGATTAACAGCAGCAAATATACTGTTATCTGTTACTGTAATATAGACAAGCCTACATAGAGTCTGACAAACTTAGTTTCCTGCTATTGTTTGTATCCACACTGGTCCTATCAATGCGGGACAAACTGTGAAAGCAACCTGCATACCAATCAACATCTGGGAATATCATGATTTATCCATTAAAACATTTCTTACCAGATGTCTCGATGTAATAATGTGTAATTGCCTTCCAGTGATAGACAAAGTCCTCCTGCAAGGGCAGCGACGGGGCAAGCTGAAAAAGACCAAATGCAAACATTGACGTTGTTGTATGTTTACACTGGTGGGGAGGAGAGAAACACCAATTATCAAGGCAACATGTTTACATAAGTCAGTAACTTCCAACAGACTTAGTTAGGAGACAGGTTGTTCTGGGAAAATGTATGTCTTCTAGCAATACTGTCACTTTCAATAATACCTTCTCAGTGTTGAACAGAGGTAATGTGCCACTACAATATGACTTTGATAATGGTTTAAACGTGTTGTGAATATGGTCTTCGTAAACACCAGAGAGCCATATGTCCGGAAAACAAGTTAGTAATAAATTAACAAGCAACTGTTACGCCAGAAGACTAAAGTGTTCACCTGCCAGACGTATTTTGTTTTAAACACTTGAGCCGCTTGAAACTGTTTTAAAGGCATGCTATAAAAGGTTCTTAGCTAGATGGCTAACGTGTTAGATTAGGCTTTACAGAAAGGCTGTGCGAGATAACCCACAGACTTTTCCTTTAATGTTAAGGTTAAAACGTTTACGCAACATTGAACCAGGTGGTTCAGTGGTTTCGACACCACTCCGCCTGAAACGAGATAGCTAGCTACAGCAATACTTTAGCTTTTTGGGTCTGTTTTTAGCTAACATTAGCGGCTAACTAGCTAAGCTAGCCTTACTACATTAAACACGTCTTGCTCCACCGAAGATACAAAATGACAACACTGAAATGTGTTAGTTTGTGGTACAACAAAACAGACAAAGAGACAACATCACGGATATATTATCGATAAGAGGGACGAACAAGTTGTCATGACAAACACAAAACGCTAACATTAGCTTAGGCTAATTAGTTAGCTCGCCAGTTAGCAATGTATCCCTTATGCTGACGTTATGGTATGTTGTGTCTGGACGACCAAGGATCCCTTTCAACTAAAATACACGATAAACAAAAGCATGCCAATGGATAAATAAATGTTGTTTTTGAAAAATAATACTCACCGCTTCAACAGCATGTTGAAGAATGGACGTAAATTTGGAAAACATTTTGTTCTTTGACTGGACTAGTTTCTCCCGAGAAGATCTAGAGAATTCCTCTATCTTCTTCTTCCTGTTGTTGCCGCCTCGATCCAGATTGGATTCATACACTGACCCTTGTAACGAAATAATAAAGGTAAGCAATAAAACCTTAACACGTTGTCTGCCACAGGTCTTCAAAGGCCTGGCACAACCACTGTAAACAAGACAGCCACAGACTCAAGTATCGTCTGGGTCTTCTCACTTTGGACACGGTGGCACTTCCCTCGCCAAACGCCTCTCTTTCTAATCCACCAGGGGGCGCAGGCACATAAGGCACCGGCTAATAATTACAGACCACCATCAATGCATACAAATTAAGACATAAATAGCCTACATACAATCAGGGACGATGTTCTATTTTTACAGCTCGGGAACAAGAATCATTAACCCCACGTCAAATATATAGTAAGTATGGAATTCCGATAACCAAGCAATGTGTTATTTCGAAAATATCCGCTGAACTGCAAAATCAATTGATTGCTCCCATAATGCACGGACTCGGCTATTCTATGGTATTGCAGTTTTTTTTGTCACATAGAGCTGAGTTAACGCATGCTTTAATCCCACTGATTTTTTAAAGTTAAAGAGCCCTCCTGAGGAAAATAACGCCAAATATTTCCCTTTGAGTAGCTGGATTAATGGAGGAAAAAATGAGAAAGAACATGCATTCCTCCATAGTGCCTGTCAACTTTGTGATTTAGCCCAACTACCACGTCCGAAACAGCATAGTCATCCCAGATACAAGTAGGCGGACCAGACAGCAGCTGCAGACGAGGAATTCAAAGAATCAATTCATTTATAACTCCCTAATAATTATTTAATGGTACACTATGTTCAAATATGGACATAAACTTGTCGGGAAATTGGAAGGATGCTGTCTGTTCCAGGACACGCCCTGTCGCTGGAAAGTGCTCTATCCATCGTGCAGTCTAGTCTAGTCTACCAAATCGCGGGCTGCATGCTTCCCTGCGTTTAATCCCAACAAATGACAGGTAAAAACTTAAAGAACAGATAATATCCGGCTGTCAACTGGTCTTCCCCCCCCCCCCTCCTTTACAGCTGCACCGGGGCATCTCCTCCTGGTTGTCTCGGCAAAGAAAGAGAGGCTACCTACCGGGCATGTCTGCTAAAGGTGAGTATCTTTTGCCGCAGAAGCCTTCATGACAATACAGTACACACACAGGGAAAAAAGTATTTTAAATGGTGGGGGTGGTGGTCTTGGTTCAAGGATGGATGCAATGGAGAGTCCATTTGCGTCTTCTTTCGTGAGGATCAGGCTGTGGTAATGACTGTTATTCTAAGTAGGTTACACCGGTGCATAGCTGAAACTACAGCTTCCACTGCTGCAGCCCTTTCTACACAGCCTACAACTTATTCTGTAGATATAAAACACTCTGTTGCAATCTATAAATAGATCACACTTTTTTTAAATTTTTAAACCCCAGCTGTGATATTGAATGTTGTCTGATTGATGTTTCCTTCGATATTCTTAGTAAGGGATGGGGCACTTCATTAGTTTAAGGTGTGTGCACACACCCTCATTGTTGCATAAATGAAGCAATTGATGGAAGACTTGTAGCATATGGTGTTAATTCTTAATAGGTTGTATTACAGTGGGGTTGTGGAATTTAGTGTAACAGTAGCCTATACCTATAAAGCTAGTGAGGTGGCAATAAGTAATATATTTTCAGGGAAATGGAAAATAAATCCCAACATTTGGTGCAGATGCTGTTTTCATTTCTTGTGCATAAATCCGTTAATACCTGCAGGCGGAGGTTTGTCCCCATCAGGTGGGCCGTGGTGGATTTGTGGCAGGTGACAGTGTTCTGTAGAGATAAAGAGCCTCCAGCTGTTCCTGCTGTAGGTTGTGATTACACAGCTGGATATATACAGAAAAGTTGCAATATTAACCTGACCTCAAGGTTATTGTATCAAATCTGCGGTTGGATCCATCATGATAGGTCTTCTGTTATTGTGTAAAGCCTTCATAGTGTACAGAATGTCACTCCCCTTCCCACTCTCTATGGTTGAGCCAGCATTAACAACATGGCTTTGAACTCCCCCATCACTGATGTGGCCTCTCTGTCCTGCATTGCTGCGGGACGAGATCGATGGCAGCTCAGAGCCCACCCGTTTGATGGACCCCCCGTGGTAGTTAGATTTGATTAGCCCCTGCAAATCATTATCCATGAAAAGTAACTACAGCTGTGGCAGTTACCTCTGTGGTGGTTACACAAATGGGAGATTTCTATTTGTATTTTCACAGATAAATCAGGCCCATTGATTTACACAGTCCTTGTAATAACATGTCAAATCAAAGAGATATTTGTCCTGGGCAAGGCCGAGTCAATACATTCTCAATTGTCCTGGCCAATCATGTCACATGTACTGGGGAAGTTGACTTACACCATGTTTTCCAATATTTCAACAAACAACAGTGTTTTTGTGTAGAAAATTATTCAGACAATTTCTTTGTATTTTATTATATTATTTTCTTTCAAAATTTTGTTTTATTTGTAGACAATCTGTATTCATGTTTTGAGCAGTCATAATATTTATTAAATATTTTTTATCTACAGAAAATGTAAACCATCCTTAAATCCTTTAAAGGGGTCCTATTATGCTAATGTTCAGGTTTCATATTAGTATATTGTGCCTTTACTGTGACATGTTTACATGCTTCAATGTTCAAAAAGGTCTTTATTTTCCTCGTACTGCCTGTGGTGCAGCACTTCTTTTCACCCTCTGTCTGAAACCAGAGCCCAGTCTGCTCTGATTGGTTAGCTGGCTGGCTCTGTTGTGATTGGTCAACAGCTTAGAGGTGTCCCGCCCCTTTAGCCTATCTTGTACAATGTGTTGGAGCGCAAGCCAATACAAGTGCAATTGTGACATGGGATGTCATTATGGTACAGAAGTAAACAAAGGAGTCAAATCAATGCGTTTCAGGCAGGGGGGGAGTGTTTGGGATATAAACTTGATTGGAGGGAACTTTGTAATTTTAGCCTTTGCAGACCATTTACATGCCCCAAAACCTATATAATACCCTACAGGGAATGGGAAAACCCAAATATCATAGGGCCTCTTTAAGTCAAGCAGAGTGGAAACATTTTCCAATTCCAACTTTCAAACTGTTATGATTCACTGCTTTTCTTTGTCATATGTGATAGTAAATGTAATATCTTTGGTTGCAGTGCCAAAACAAGCAAATTGAAAGAATCACACTGGGCTTGGACAAATGTATGATGATCTGACATTCATACAGGAAACGATTTAGAACCAAGAAATGAATCTGAATATTAATCAAAAAACGAAAGTGAACGTTAGCTGTTGCCCGAATTTTACAATTTCCCTGATTGATGTTCTGTAAATCCATATACAGATGCTTGGCCCACATTTTATATTTCTAGATATTTTAGCCGCCATTACTCTATAGCGAAGATCTTAAACACGTTAGAAGCCTAATGAAAAATGTTCCTTCCAACAGAAACAGGAAGTGTCTCAAAAACAGTCTCAAATGACTCCCAGTATGCCTTTATGATTACCAGCCCCTCCCTCAGCTGCCCAGCAAGCCTCAGCTATTACTGAGCTCTCAGTCTTGCAGTCGCCAACCCCCCCCCCCCCCCCCTCTCTCTTATCAGCACATGGCCATCAGCTTTTACCTTGATGCTCATCCATTAGTCACCCCACCTTATACATAATACACCCTTGCGGCCATACTGCTCTATCTGGACCTTTTATGCAGCGTCCACACGGCAGCGTGCGTTGAAGCTTGCCGGTGGGCGTGTCTGAAACTCGACCAACAACCAATCACATGAATCTCCCGCCCCGGACACACAAGCACGCGGTTTGATTGGCTAGAGCTTGTACTGGCATGTGATTCGATTGGCTGACGCTTCCGTCGAAGCTTCAGAAGTTGAACATTGCTCTACTTTTGAAGCGAGCAACGCGAGCAAAGCGAAGCGGCGCTCCCACAATGCAGTTCGGCGAAGTGTGACGTCACCCCATTCAAAGTGAATGGGCAGAAGCGTTGAAGCTTCAACGCACGCCGCCGTGTGTAGGGGACGTTAGTGTCATCATATTTCCTCTGATGTTGTCTTTTCTCTATCTAAACATGATTTTTGTTTTTTAAATAAAACCTTTATAATTAAACCCTTATGCTGGAGATGTTGACAGAGCACAGTGTTCATTATTTTAACTAGGTAACAGTACATTCTCCCTATTGGTTTTCAGAAATCAGCTTAAAACCTACCGCAGCTATGTCATTTAGCATCATCCTGCCATTTATTTGTACAGTTTGCCGTTATGCTACCACTGTTTCTCTACTGTTGAGGTTAGCCAGTCATATGAGAGTGAATTTATTGTTCCTCTTGGTCCATTTAAGCCATTTATCCCTGCCTCACCGCAGAATTTTAAAACAACATGTTGGACTTCTCACAAATGTAGGCCAATGTTGTTCTTTCACTTCTCTACTACTAGCGGGCTGTTTTTATTGGCTTGGATGTTATATTTTATGTATGATTTAATAGTCCCTTTTTAAAGGCATTGTAGCAAAGTGTGCTGAATTTAGGTATATGAGGATTTTCCTCTCTTCTTAATGAAATGTCAACTGATGCTCAGAAAGATTAATAGATGACATGTGGATGTTTAGTCCTGTGATCACTATCAAAATGCAGAAAAACTGTTTTATTTTCTGAAGAAGAATGATAGTATACCTTATTAACTCTATATTATTTGTATATTCAAATCAGTGCCTCTTCCCTACGTACGTTGTATCATGAATGCAAGGCATAAATGTCAGCCGTAATACATTGGGGGCTACTTTTTTATCCCCATCTTCAATGAAATATACTTTTTTTTGTTGCTTTTTCCAGTAGTCCGGATATCTTTAAGCGAATATCAGCAAATAACTTCATCCTTGGAACATCTTCAGTTTTATCCTGCTCTGACGTCCCCGCCCACTTTCCTTGAGCAGGGTTAGCACATCCTGCACACCGAGCCTGTTACACTGCAGTGTAATCCTGATGATCAATGGTTGATGCATAAAGGAGGCACAGCTCCTCTCTGCAGTAACTTAATCTGATGCCTCATCCCTTATCCGACCACTGGAGAGGGCTGCTCATGCTCCAACAGCACGACCCCCTGCGTCAGCACTTTTCTCTGTGTGTGTGTGTGTGTGTGTGTGTGTGTGTGTGTGTGTGTGTGTGTGTGTGTGTGTGTGTGTGTGTGTGTGTGTGTGTGTGTGTGTGTGTGTGTGTGTGTGTGTGTGTGTGTGTGTGTGTGTGTGTGTGTGTGTGTGTGTGTGTGTGTGTGTGTGTGTGTGTGTGTGTGTGTGTGTGTGTACTCTGTGTGAACATGAGGGTTGGTCTGCGCGCGCATGCATGTGTCCTGGCAAAAGCCTGAATAATTGATGAGCAGAGGAAAGAGTGAAAGCACTGCCGGACGGGACGGTGTGTGTGGGAGTGTGTAGAGATGGGGGAAAGGGATACAGTGTGGCAGGAGCCTGGCTACGATGGGATCTGCAACTACGCCCAAAGAATCACCTCCTGCTTCGGACTGGATGGTAAGACAGGGGGAATAACAGAAGAAGAGAAGGGAGGGGGGTGGGGGGGGGGGTTTGTTCATCCTAATGTGAAGCAGGATGCAGGGGCTATGAAAATGATGCGGGTGAATTTTATGTGCGATGCTGATTTTTCTGCAGGCAGGGAGTGCAGCATTGTTGTGTTTGTGTGTTGATCTGCGAGTGTGTGTGTAGTTGTGTTAAAGCATCCAAAGAGTGGATGACAATTGGAGGGCAGTGCCTCACTGCAGCACAATAGCATGTCCTTAGCTACCCTGAGGTCCATGTGTGGTTGTAAAAGTGTACGTCTTATAGCTCAAAATCACACTCTATCTTTTCTCTGGAGTGTAACACTGGCTTTCCTGAATGGGAGAGTGATGGTGGGCGTGTAAGCGTAACCTGAATTAAGTCAAATTAGATAAATACTGTACAATCATAACCTTTAAAGTGCAGGCCAAGACCGATATCTTGACACCATAAGGATATGTTTTGCTTTGTCATTGTCTGCTGGTCTTTTCATCATGCATTTGTATCTCAATGATTTATATCATTTCCTGGGAGAAAGATAGATGCCATTAGCCGTTTGATGAATATTAGATGTCATGGAAGGATTTCCGGTCTTTGCATGGTTTAAAAAAACCATACCGTTGCCAGTTGGTTTAAATCATATCCGATCACTGGTGGGTGGAATCTTGTTTTTGTAGAGTTTGCTTAGATTCTCCCTCTGCATCATCTATCTTTTCACCTCCCACCGGGACATCTCTACGACTCAAGTTTTACCTCTACTGAACTCACATTTCCAAGAAAGGTGAATGCATCTTTGACTCAAGAAAGAGTGTTTGTAGCTAGGACGTTAGTTATGTGGGTTTAACTTCAAGAAAACAGTCTGGACATCTCTGCAGAAACATATTCAGCCCCATCATGAGTTGGTCTAAAGATTATTAACTCACAAAATGAGAGCTACTGACATTTACGCTTTAGCGCTGATGTAGTTGCAGTGTCTTTCATTGTGAAGGATCCTGCTGATGAATAACAGTGCGTTTGTTCATTGTTGTCTGGTCCAATGACCTTGCTTGCTGTTAACCTTGTAGAGAACTGGCAGACACCCAAGGAAATATACCCGGAATATCTTAGATCGCTGTGATGCTGTACACTCGTGCATCCAATTGGTTAATGCAAAGGATATTCAACCAAAAAACGATTTAGTGTCATAGAATGGAAATGCATGTACATCTTGTTGTTTAATGACTTAAGTTGACCAAATCACACGGATAAAAGTCATTAAAAAAGGTTTTGATAGAATTCCAGCAAGAAATTGTCAGGGTAGGGTTAAGTAAATATAATGAATAAAGTTGATCATGTGCATTTATGCTTTTAGATATATTAAGATACTCTGTTCTCAGAACACGGTATCCATTTTTTTATTAAAATATATATACAGTCGGTGTATTTCATCTAATAAAATGTTTAGTTAATATTATTACTAAATCACTAACCTTAACCTCTTAAGCCCTGAGCCTGTTTTTCAGGTCTCAGGCTCGAAAATGACATTCCCAGAACAAATGACCATATCTTCCCTTCTAAAAGGGTTAAATTAATAATCTTTATTCTCAAAGTAATGATAAACCTGTGAGTTGGATGTAGAAGTGTCAGAATCAATATAGATGTTTTTTATTTTAAAGAAAATTCAGATTTTACATAGTAAAAAACTGTAAATTATAGTGTCCGTCCAAAAATTCTTTTTTACTTATAGTGAAAACTACCCTTGGATGATGGGTTAGTAGACTAAAAGCTTTAGGAATCCAAAGTACAACATATAATAAGTACCCTGTATCAAGATTGATGCAAAACAAGTGAAATTTGACCTTTTTAGAGAGATTTAGCCAAAAACCCCCACTTCTGGGGTCATTTGGGTGGATTTGACCTATCTCTGGCCCCCCTTGCTCGATTTTGATGAATGAAATCTCTTTATAACCGCTAGAGCCAATGGAATCGAGGGAAAGTTATATACACACCAAAACGTTAACAAATAAGGAGTGAGAGTGACGCGTTACCAAAACCGGAAGCTGCATACACTCTGGTGGCTACCATTAGCAGCTAACTTTTCCGCTCCGATCTTTACATAAAAAATGGAATTATGGATTATAAATAATTTCTTCAAAGGCACAGGTACATTATCAACCTATGGATCAACAGTTGTAGCATTTTTGTTTTTCGTTTTAATGCCATTGAACACGTCTTTTTACCTAATTGACAGCTACGGTGAGACGATCTGCCGTAAATGCTCCGTAAAGATACGTGTTGTGATGTCTGTGTTTGCTTCCCCTGTCGCAAGTTCGGATCGCTCAGTGATGATACTATACCTAAATAATCTGTGGAGTCTCAGCTTTAATCGGCTATATTGTATGTGCAGCTACGATAAGTAATAAGGGTATCTTTATCTTGAATTGTGTGCCGCAGTGCGTTAGAATATTTTAGCTCAGGGGTCATTTAGACACTTCTTATGAGACTTGTGTTTTGTTTTGATAAAAATGGTTCATATCTTCAGTTAGCTGAGATTCTTCCCGTTAATCTGGTGCTACACATTAATAATTTCATAAATGTTAAGAAGCCCTGAGACATTATCTCGAAAAAAAAACGGTGGGAGGGGTCCAATGGGGGGACCGCCGTGCTTAAGAGGTTAAGACCCATGTAAGTGCTTTGATTTTGTTTAATGATATAGGCTAATGATAATTTGCTCAGATTGCAGAAAAGGATTGCTATAGTGTTCGATGTTATAGGGACTGTGATAAATGACAATACAGATGACATGTTTTAGGATTGCCTAAAAATATAATCTTTATTTGCTCATATTTTATGCATATGGTGGTATGTTCTTTTAACTATCATCAAATACATTTTGTTTTCAATTGCAATATTTAACACCTTGTTAGTGTATTGAATAGCAAACCCTGTATGGTGATGCGTAGGCTTATTGCCAGATTATTTCCATTACACAGCCCTTGTCATTGGCCAGATGTTAAAAAGGGAGAGCAGTAATTGGGATGCACTTCAATCACATCAAAAGAGAGACTCCCACAAAACACAGGACGGATCTGATGTAGAGCCACCTAACCCCACCCAGAAGTTAATCATAGGCTCCACGTCAGCCCTAAGCTGCTTAAGGCACTATGCTGGTTGGGCTGAAGACACTCATAGTGTAAGCTTCTTTCCCCATTTCTCACTCCGCTCTACCTGCAGCAGATGTCACACATGTCGCCTGCTGTTTGGCTGCCCCACCTCAAGGTGGACATCCGCGCTCCACTTCTTACATCTGCAGAAGATCTCAAGTGACAGGTGGAGGGACTGTAACAGGAGGTGTTTTCCACTGGAGGCATCGCTGGATTTTGCCATGATTTTATGTGAAGGTGCCCAAAAAGCTCTGGCTCCTTTTGTTTCCGTTTGTGTGCCTCTATGAAAACCCCATGCTCTTGATGTCCAAAGGCGACTAAGAGAAGGTTTGAGGACCGAACTTGGCTGACGTCTACCTGCAGTGCATCACCTTTCTCTGTGGGAAAACAGAAGGGGAACGGGACACCATGCCCACGCTGCCCAGTATGAACAGCCTGGGCAAACTGTGCAGCTCCAGCCGCAGCAAAGGTGTCGACCGCGTCCGGGTGAAGCGCAAGAACTCGGTCAAGCGCATGTCTATCATCGAGGATGGGCACGTGGCGGAAGTTCTGTACCTCATTCCTAAAGAGTACATGCAGCATCTGCCCAACATCAACCCCAATGAATATTACCTGAGTGAGAGGCTGAACGATGTGGCTACAGGTAGGACAGGAGAGAAGATTGGAGATTAATTCACCCATCTCCCATTACACACATCCATCCTAGCTGGAGCTGACTAAAAACCCAGTCTCCTTAATCAATGAGTAATACAATTTGATGTGACATTTCATTTCATTATACTTTCCCTCTTCCTTTCTTCCCTTGTGTTTGTTAATACCAAGTTATTTCGGTCCTGTATTTCAGTGTGGCTCCTCTGTTTGCGAGTACAGGTGGCTTTAAGGGAATAATGTTGCTGTTGCACGAGATTACTTCATTAATTGGATGACAGTGAGTGATGACTCCTCTTGAGGTCTCCATATCTGATCTGTGCGTGTGTGTGAGAGCTCCGATGCTCCCGAGTTACACAACCGCAACTCCCAGACGCCAAGAAGTGTTGCAAACGTTGAAACAGCCAGGAAATGAATAACTCCATAGTTATATAATGGAAACCAATATGCAAAGGCAGACCTGCTGCATGTTTGCCAAGCAACAGTACATGGGGAAGCAACATGGTGGCTTACATCAGGATTACAAAATGGGCAAGAGGACAAATCGAGACTTTCCGACCTTATGTATTCTCTGACTACATGCCAGACACAGAAATGAAAAAAATCATTGCTTGGAATTAAGTTGTTTTCAAATAGCACAGACCGCAGAAACTCTGTTTTTGAGTGAAAGTTTGATTGACTGATAGCTCAGGTTCAAAGAAGCTTTGTGTCTGAACCGGGATCAAATATCAGAGGTCATGGCTTATGTTAGCCATTTCCTTCCTTGAGTGACAGCTAAAAACTATCAAACCGTGACAATGACAGCTGCTCATGTTGCGTGAGTCCTTTAGGGGCCAGGTCTGAGTCATGTGTCTGCTACTTTATGGTTTTTGGACAGGAAAAAGTCTTCCAAGACTTTCTTAAGACACCATATCCATCTTTCAAACTTGCAAAGACACAATAGTCATCTTTTATTTACCCTTAACCTTTCTTTAAACCTTTCTAGTGTTCAACTGTCAGCCAATAAAATTGAAACATTGCTGCATTATTACAACGCTTTTGAATATGAGTGGCACTATTTCTGCTCCAGAATGATGTCACCCAGAGGTCACCAAATGTTTGACGGTACCTCAAAGAAGCACGAAAATAAATCAGCAACCCGAGCTTCCTGTGGATTGTAGTTTTAGATTTATGTGCGCAAGATGT